AAAAACTTCGCAGTCTGAAGAATTCTCTACAAAATGCACTATTTAATTTTCGAAAATTTTTATTATCATTAACAGTATTAGATAATAATTTTTCTCATACAAACAAACAACAAAAAAAAAAGAAAATCATTAGTATAAAATTTTCGATTCAATAAATAAATCTATTTAAGGAAATAACATCAAAATGGAATGAAGTTCAAACACTTGTACCACAACGTGATCAAGATTTACAAAGTGAATATGCTAAACAACAACAAAATGAACGTTTTCGTATACAATTTGCACAAAAAGCAAATGTTGTTGGTCCATGGATAGAACGACAACATGAACAACTTCAACAATTAACATTTCAAGTTGTTGGAACATTAGAACAACATCAAAAAAAACTTGAAACAATGGAATTAAATGTAACACAATATCGTCCACATATAGATGAACTTGAAAAATATAATCAACAAATTCAAGAATGTATGATTTTTGAAAATCGTCATACACCATATACAATGGAAGTTGTACGTGTTGCATGGGAACAGTTACATACACAATTAACAAGACAAATAGCTGAAATTAAAAATCAAATATATACATTAGAAAAGAAAGGAATTAGTGAAGAACAAATGAATGAATTTCGAGCTGCTTTTGCACATTTTGATAAGAGTCGAAGTCGTATGTATTTTGTTGTGTTTTTTTTTTTCGTCTATGATTTTATATATTATTTAATATAGGTCGACTTGATCCAAAAGAATTTCGTTCATGTTTAATTGCTTGTGGTTATAATATACGTGAAGATCGACAAGGTGATGCTGATTTTCAACGTATTATGGCAAATGTTGATCCAACACATACAGGTTTTGTTACATTTGAATCATTTTTGGATTTTATGACACGTGAATGTTCCGAAGAAGATAGTGTTGATCAATTAACACTTGCTTTCAAGACACTGTCTGCTGATAAAGTAAGTTCCATAATCAAATATAATTGTAGTACTCTACTTTGTCATCAACAATTTAGAGATAAAAAATATTGATGTATGAGATAGAATTATCAATTATTCTAAATTAGTGTAAGCAGAAAAATAAATTTCTTCTTTTTATTCACAAATTAGGAATAAAGTGATGGAAAAAAAAAGTTTAATAACAATAGATTTTTCTATACTAGATGAACTATGATGGTAAGGTTTCTAAAAATCCAGACAGCTTTTTTTAATAATGTCATCATAGGTAATCTAGTATAGAAAAATCCATAGTTATTAAATTTTCCAACACCTTATGTATATATGTAAAGTTAAAAGCAGTGTTTCATTCATTTAAACCTCCGAGAGGACGAACACATCTTTTTAAAAGCGCAGATATATTGTACGCGGTACAATAAATCAAAGACTTCGTAAAGGTCAATCCGAAGAGTTCGGCTCCCACTTACGAATGTGCAATGTTGAACACTGATTTTATTTTGAAGAGAAAACTTATGAAAAGATGCATTTTGAAGATGTTTTTTTTTTGATTGGATCATCGGATTTTTGTAACCAAGACATGAATTAGTACTACGATAAATGATATTGCTCTTTTTTCCTTTTGCGCGTCACCAACAACTTGATAAGTAGCACAAAAACACTAAATTTTCAATAGATATTCTATAAAAGATCTCCGTTTCTGATTCACTGGCGAATTAAAGCGACAGATAGTTATGCCAATCTCACCTCATTCTTTTCCATTTCTTGCATGTTATTACTTAAGAATATTAAGTAGAACCATTGTTATCAATCATTTTTCTTTTAACTATTTTCTACAGTATTTTATCGTATAGTTTCATTTTATCATTTTAGCCTTATATTACAGCTGAAGAACTTAAACGTGAATTACCGGCTAATCAAGCTGAATGGTGTATACAACGTATGAAACCATATACAGGTGTTGAGGATGTACCTGGTGCATATGATTATAAAACATTTTCATCAGCTCTCTATGGCGAATCGGATCTCTAAACTGTTTTTTCTTTTCTATGGACAATCTCTATTTTCTATCTCTTTTATTTTTTCTTCATGTATCGTAATCTAAAAGAAAAAAAGAAAAAAAGAATTTTTTGTTTTTCGTCTTTTTTTTTTTGCACAGAGACATTCATTTGTTCTGATGATCAAATATAATTACACGAAAAAAAAAATATATATATACAATCAATGTCTATTACTCATTTCGTTGAACACATGATTTAAACTTTACTCATTTCTTGTCTTGTATCTTTATTATATTTGTTTCTTTCTTTGATCGATTATCTTTGTTTTTTTTTTCATATACAAAATTCAACGATATAAAAGAAAAAGAAAATGAATGAATTTTGAACTTGTTTCAAATGCTAACTTTTTTACTTTCTTTCTTTGTTAGATATTGAATGTAAGAGAAAGAAATCTTGATGTTGTCTGTTTTTTTTTCTTGTTCTTCTTGATGAATATACATTCTTGTTTTTTTTTATTGTTGGTCATTGGATCAATATCGCTGTATTGGTTGAAATAGAAATCAAAAATTAACCAAACATTGTTTATTACAGGAATTTGAAACGAATGAAAAAGTAAGATTATTCATCGAATGATAGTAATCAAATAAAAATATCCAAATCATTGTTGAATCATTATACATTTTATCGGTATTCTTATATTGTCGTGTAACATATTATGACAAATTTCTTTCAACAAAAACTAAACTTTAGTTTTTATCCAATGATTAACAAATAAACTGGTGCGTTTCATCTATAATTTATTGTAATGCAAGCAAAATTTTTGTTCATTATACATACAATTATTGTTCATCAAATAATTATCTTCCCTCAGAGACGTAACTTAACACGAAAGGCGAGAGTGAGGTGTTGCAGAGCGTTTGAGTCCTAGAAAAAGAAGCGCTACGTGAACAATTTTCGAAAGCAGAGGGTACCAAATCCAAGGAGAAACAAAGCGAACATTCCGTACTTCAAGAATTCTTGATCATGCTCCATGCGTCTGTATTAGTTATGCACTTGCGTTCATTCATGCGATGTTTAATTTTAAATATTAGATATAACAAATCTACAGGATGTTTGGAAAGTAATTCCCTATTTTAAATTCTTTATTATTCTCAAACAATAAAAGATATCATAACGATTTTTTCATTGTTTTAAATCATGTGTCATCGCATTTCGTTATAGGTGAAATAACCCAATTGGTCTTTTGACTGTTTCAGATCAAACACGAATTTCATCTAGACAATACCTGAGAAATAATTCATTAATTTGAGTAGTTTATTATTCTTATACGAGAATAGATGCTATAATAACTACAGAAGTGTATGGACAACAGAAGAACCTATGTAAAAATTTTTGGACATTATATGTTATAGTATCTATTCTCATAACGAGCGATGGAAAAGTAATGGCATAAAATGTTGATCCATATTTTTCCTCGATAGAAGGAGACTGAAACAAAACTTTTTTAACCAAAAAATAGAGCTTCTTCTACTCTTCCAGATTGTATATAATTTATTGTTTCTATCATGTCTATAAATGAAACAACATCACAAAAAAGAAGTATATCATCGAAAACATTTTGCACGTTTTTTATAAAAAAGCAGCAGAAAATGTCGACCTTTATATTTCTTCAATAAACACATTTCGAAAAGAAAATTTTATTACCAATCGATAGTAAATTTTCTCCTCTTTCGAATGATATATAATTTGTTTTTTTCATTTGTATTCCTTAATGAAATGAAACAAGAAAAATAGGAAAATACTCACAATGAATATGGAGTTTTTTCATGAACTTGTCAAAAACATCTTCTAGATGGCAGTTAATCATAGTTAATTAAAATGAACCAAATTATCATCGTCTACTATAGTGTTTTGACATGCTCATACAAAAATTGCAAAATTAATGCACGGGTGTTTTCCTTTCTTTCTTGTTTCATTTCATTGAGGAATGCGAATGAAAAAACAAATTGTATATCATTCGAAAGAGAAGAAAATTTCCTATCGATTGGTAATAAAATTTTCTTTTCGAAACGCCTTTGTCGAAGAGTTATTCAAAAAACAAGGAAATCAACATTTTGTGTTATTTTGCTAAATTTTACAAAAAGTACAAAATGTTTTCGATGGTATACTTCGTTTTTGTGATGTTGTTTCATTTATAGGCATGATAGAAATAATAAATTATATACAATCTGGAAGAGTAGAAGAAGCTCTATCTTTTGGTTAAAAAAGTTTTGTTTCAGTCTCCTTCTATCGAGGAAAAATATGGATCAGCATTTTGTGTCATTACTTTTGCATCGTACGTTATAAGAATAATAAACTACTCAAAATAATGAATTATTTCCAGATATTGTCTAGATGAAATTCGTGCTGGATCTGAAACAGTCAAAAGATCAATCGGCTTGTTTCATCTATAAAAAAATGTCATGACAACATCACATACTTCAAAACAGTCAAAAAATCGTTACGATATCTTTTATTGTTTGAGAATAATAAAGAATTTAAAATAGAGAGTTACTTTCCAGACATCCTGTTGTTTTTTATTCAAACAGATACATAAACTGATGCTTAGAATAACAAATGAATTGATAACGAGCAACGCCAAAATTTTACACTAATCATATTCCGTTTGTATCTCAATATAGGAACCTTGTAGAAGATTCTTTCATATGATAAAAAAGCATTTGAATTTACTATGTACAATTACAAACATAACAGAAACAAAATTAATGCAAAACTAAAATGCTATCAGTTATTATAATATGTTTTATATGCAGCACTGCTTCAATTCTTATCATTAAATAAGACTATTCGAATTTTCTTTTATGTTACTTTACAGTTGATTCATCTTATGAAATAATAAGATCATAATGTTAAATAACACTACTTCTATATTAAATCAATATATAGAATTAATCAATCAGTCAATCATTACGAATGATTCTCTTGGTGCTAGTATATTTATTATCATTGTTCTTTGTTTTTATTCATCAAGTTTTATATTTCTATTGGTAATGCAAATGGAAACATCTGATGAAACTCTTGAAGAATCAATAACTTCTTCAACAAAATTATTTGTTCAAAATTTTCGTGATCAAAATAATAATAAACAAATATTAGGTAAATTTCAAATTTTAATCGAAAAAGAAAATACGTTTGTTTTATTTTAGAAGAACTTGTTAATAAACAAAAACGAGATAAATTATGGGATATTTATTTGGGTACATCTGGAGATATGAATGATAAAATAATTCGTGCTGATATGGTTCGTATTCGTAATATTGAAAAACAATTAGCAAATATGAATGAATACCACAGAAATAATAGTAATCAAAGAATTAATGATGATCATTTTTCTACATATTCTTCTAATCTAGATGAATGGTCATCAGTTACAGATTTATCTATATTAAGTTCACGTTTACGTACTCGACATCGATCATCATTAGATCATAAAATTCTCGAAGAATGGAAAGTGCTTGCTGATGAATTAAAAACTCATGAAAGTTGGCCATGGACTATACAAAAATTAATTATACGACGACATTTACGACGACAACGACATGCATCAGAAGGTGGATCAGTATCTTGATCGTTATCGAATGATTATTTTACAAACAATTCTTTCTATCAATCTTCTATAAATATATTCGTTTATTTTAATTTTTGAAACTTTTATTACATTGATATGTTTAATGTTAAATTTAGTTTGAATGCTTCTTCAGATTAGAAAAAAAAGAGAATGAACCTTCATCTTCCATATCACTTCTTGAGTAATGATTGGTAATATTTATTGTCAGTACAATGTAATGTATGATTAAGTTGATAAAAACTTTTTTTTAAATTTAAATCAAGTTTTTAAGAGAGGATCCGCGAGAAGACTACCCTACTCTCCATATAAGTCGTCGGAGAAAAAATTTTTTTTCTATTTTATTTTCTTAAATAAAGCCATCGACACATTAGAAGACCCGGGGTCTTCTATTCTGTCTTATCGTTCATAAGTTAAAAGGGGGGTCTTCTATTATGTCCTTTAAAAAAGTCATATTTTTTGGCAATCCCACCTACAAACCTTAGCTTCACTTGATTTTTGTCCAATATATCGTTGGTAAATGAGTTTGCTTCACTTATTTCACATGTGTAGAATAAGAAAGAAACAGATATCATCCTGTGAAAAAAGGGAGACCATCGTTGGTAAGAAGTATTCTTAGAACAATACAGTCAATGTAGCCTAGCATCTTGGTACGATATCCCATATCGTTCTTTTTTTCTCTAGGCTAACACCTATCATTGGCAACATTTTACCTTCTCAATAACTAAATAAATGTAAAAAAAGAAAATTAATTTTTTTTATCAAACTCATTTTATTCAGTTGCTTATGTAGAGATATGATTAGTATAGATGGAATCTATTCATAATGAATTCTGCTACTAGCAAAGTTATTAATCTTAAGTTAACTTCAATGAATACGATTGTCTTATGAAGAAACTATCTATAGAAAATCAGCAGTTGAATACACACACCGTTTTTCTTTTGCGTCTGTTTTAAAAAATGCCATTGTATCTTATTGAAAAAAGAAATGCATTCTGAAACTCAAAAAAAGTACTCACATATCAAATCTCGACGTTTATACAGTCTACGCAAAAAATTCTGGGACATTCAAGAATGGCTCTCTGAAATTTCATCTTTCATTTGAAATAAACTTTATATATATTTTTTAAGCATAGTTACTGGTTAAACTTTCGTACTTTACTCTACAGACGCAAAACTTCTAGTTTTAATATTATATAAAACTGTAACCAGTAGCTATACTTAAAATATATATAAAGTTTGTTTCAAATGAAATATAAAATTTTGCAGAACCATTCTTCAGTGTCCCAGAAATTTTTGTGTAGACTGTGCATGAAGTTATGTTTTCTTCAATTATGAAAGACTGTTTTGTGGTGAAAACGTTTCTGATTTTCTAGAAGAAAGTCAAAGATGAAATGACCTTTTAATTAATACAAAGCGGCAATTTACCTAATCTGTTGCTATTGTACAAAGATCCCTTCACATGTTACATGCACGAACGGGCACTGGGCTCATTAGATCCTATGACTATGGAAGCGTGTTTTTCGTGTATAGAGCCTGAATAACGTATTCAAAGTAAGCTGCAAAGGAGTACTAAAATGACTCCATGGTATATTTTTACAAAGAAACGCAATCTTTAATAAACAGTTGTTTCCTATTAGTTGCTTTTCAAGATTTTATTCATTCGAGCCTGACACTTGGTTATGAGGGAGGAAGCAAGATATTTTTCGTACTGAATTTCGATATCATTCTAGGCTTAAATACTAAACAAATCAATAAACTCCAGAAACTGTTTCAAAATATCGATTTTTTAAGAGGGGGGGGGGAGTCTTCTAATGTGTCGATGGCTTTACTTGATACGTCACGAGGTGCTCTAGAAAATGGTATAGATGACTTTATCTATTGAATGTTTGTTATCTGTTCTGACAAAGTTCTTTAAAATAAAATATTCTCGTCTGTTACAACCAATAAATAGAATTCAATCATTAAAACAGGATTATTATTTAATAATTTATTATCAACAAATATTGGAATTGATTCAATAAATGGAACATTTGCTAGAATTCGT